TTCGCAATGCGAAAAGTGCATTAAGAGATGAGGAAGATAGACTAAAACCAATAAAAGCAACATATCAACAATAGTTTCTGGAGGCTATTACATACTCATTTCTCTTAGTGTGATTCTCATCATTAGTATCTTTCATTTCCCGAAAAATCTAAAAATTAAACTAGAGACAAATGTCAATAAATTCTTCAACAAATAGATTACGTTAGATTAGATCTTAACCGTATCAATCTCAGGTTGACCTTTCTATCTATGTACAGAATAGAATAGTCCAAAAGTTACTTTATCAAACAAAAGAACTGAATATCATCCTTATAATTTAGTTAAACAAATTAATGCTTCTATCTCTGACAAGTGAATGTAAGTAGTTCATATTTATAAAATAAATCTTCAAAAAATCCCTTCTATGAAGTATGATCGTTTACTTCATTAATGAATTATAAGACAAACAAACAATTATTTATTTATCTGATCAAAAATATAGGGCGTATATAATTTTTCTTCGATTACTTCCTCACATTTGTCTCGCCGTCTCAAGGTTATATGACACAATCATGTCGTAATATTCTATATATTCAAAAATTTTCATTTGTAAACAATCTCATATCATAGGTACACTGCGATATCATTTTTCTTAGCTTAGTCATGGTCACTACTTGTTTCTACTTCGGTCAATTTTAATATTTGAAAACAGTTAGCTTCTTCAACATTTTACTAATGAATATCAACTATGAATATTGTTATAAAAATAGTAAAACGAATCAATTCCTTAGTCTAAACTATAGTGGAGATATTTCAAGATAAGTATATAAAACAATAATATTCAAATCAATTTATGACAACGAACCTTGTTCAATTGTTGTTGCGGAGACATTATTGGCGACCTTATAATATTTAAAAATGGTAAGAAAAACAAAAATAAATAGAAATAACCTTACTTGTAATGTATTTCGATTATCAAAATGTAGGATAAGTTTTCGTTGTTCAGATAATGTATTATTATTAGTAATTTTTGTATATTCATATCCGTTACAAAATGTTTGTTTTGATATAGATAAATCATTGTGATTGTTTTGATATTTTGTCGGTGAATCCACTAATAAATTCTCATAATTTGTTGCATCACTCATATCTAGTCGTATTTTTAAGAATTTAAATAAATATTTCTATTATTCCGATAACGGTGCAGCTAGCTGGAAATTTGGCACACGTCTACAAAAGGTTCAAAAATGAAATCTTATAAGAAAGAAAAATGTTGCAATAATTGTTGTTTTTTTTTTGTAAGTTCTTTCTTTTATATTTACTATATAAAGAAAAACTACGAGTTTCGAATACATCAACATGACCGGCTGTGACAAAGAAGTATGAAAAGAAAAAAAAAGGAAAGAAAAAGAAAAAAAAAAGTTGAGTAGACAACAAAGTATTTTTCTATTTTTCAGAGAAAAATGAAATTTGACTAAAAGCAACCGAGTAAAACTTACTCGTCACCGTTGTTGGTTCATTGTCATCGTAGCAATACAACAATTTTTTCTTTTCTTCATTTTTTTTTGTTTTTGATGATTTTGTTTCACTCATATGCAGATCGAAACAATAATCTTCATCAGTATGTTTTCTTTCTCATTTTTTTTCTGTTCTTGTCATGGATGTCGAACGAAGAGACTACAGAACGCTGTATAAATATTTTGTTTTTGTGCTCAAATGTATGATGCACATGTGTATATATAAAGGGAAGAGAGAATGAAAATAATTGAGAGAAAAGTAATTCAATAGGTGGAGAAAAAACATATTATTCTGACGATGAAAAAGTAGTAAACAACAAATTTTTTCTCGCCTGAAAATGTTTTTTTTTTTGAATGGATTTTATTTATAAACACAATTAGCAATTACAAACGTCGAAGAAAATGAATATGCTTCAGGCAACTTATCGAATATGTGAAATTAAACAGGTGATGAGTTGAATAGAAATATGAATGGTTAGCAATATTTTTTTCCCTCATGATCATTGTTGCTTTTAATATAAGCAAATACAGTGAAGTACATTGATTGATCATACAATGCGTCATTGGGTGCTTTTATTTAAGAATATGTTTTGTTTGCAAACGTCAATTTCAGAATAGTGAACTATAAAAATAACAATGGATTAATAATATTTTGTCATGAATTTTTGAATGAAGAATATTGCCTTTCTTGCTAATGATATCCTTTTTATTTTGGTATCACTTGCTTGATTGTAGATAAAAAAGAATGATATTTACATAGCTATATCTTCAGCAGCATTCGCCATCTAGAAGTTCAACGACAATTGAGATAGAATTCGAGGCATTGTATAATGAGGGTGACTTAAAACATTCTGATATAAACTTCATGGAAGAAGTTACTTAAATTGATAACCCTATGATCTTAGTTTAGAGGCTTCCAGCAGTGAATTTGACTTGATTTTTTCGAGCTCTTTGACTTTCGAAATATTCAAGAAATTTGTTTTCAAAACCATTGTCACATATAACCACACTAGCGAGGTTATAAAGATTGGCACAATATGGTAGGTATATCTTCAATTAATTAGTTTTTACCTGTATACTGTACCTTGAATAATTTCGATAAACAATCGAGGTTCGATACGCAATTACGTATCATGATACTAATAGAAAAGCATTGATAACAGGCAGAGAGTACATATGTTAGATAGACGCACACAGAGAACTGAAAAAAAACAGTATCTTATGATTAAGTATATGTTACATAGAACGTAAATATTTGTATATGCATCGAAAAATTTTTTGTTGTATTACTAGAGTTTTTATATGCTCAACTTCTTTGATTTATAATCGCTAGAATGATATTATGTCATTTGAAAAATAATAAAAATAGGATTTTTACAATCACATTAAAAACAATAATGTAATAAGACAGGTGAAAAATCTTACATCAACCATAGCGCAAAGTTTGCAAATAGATTATTAAAAGATTTAAATTGAAAAGATATTTATTTACAGCATATATTTCTCACAGACATAAGAGATAACAAAGTGAACACAGCGTGAAAGGTAGATTAAGTATGCAGTAATTAAATAGTATTGATTTCTAAAAGACATAGTTAATTAAAGTGTAAAATTAATATAGAATTTGTGGTCTTGTGTAATTTTTTGTCTACTAATAGATGTCAAGAAGAAGAAAACCCATAAAAATATATAGTGAAAGGTATAAAAAGTTGTGAATCAGTGCTTTTCTTTTTAATCATCACTGTAGTTATTAGGAGAACTTATGACTGTTATACAGTCATAAAAAGAAAAATCACTCGTGCTGATATACAGACTAGTTCAGAACGATCTGACCAATATCAGCCAAGGCGCAAAATCTGCTGTAAAAAGAGGAAATTTGTTCGAACCGGGAAATAACTTGGCGAATATCCATAGACTCAAGAGTTTCAAACAAACATTCCTAGATAAAAATTTTTCAAAAAATTTCTTTAAATAAAATATTTTTTTCAGAAATTCATCCGAACTCAAGAAGATTTTCCCAAAAGTGCGTTCCCACACGTGGGCCAATTCTGTATCTCTGACTACCAGTACTAGTTTCGACTCTGATGACATGTAGGATATTATTTAGTTTGCTACATTCTTCAAACATCATTGAATTACATACAATACTTTCAATCGAACAGTTTATCACTATCGAAAAATAATTTAAATATAGTATTCGATAGAAACATACCTTTACAACTTGAACACAGATTGTGAAAAGTCTCCTTTATTTATTACGATGTTTTCACGAATAAACTGAGATTATAGTATGTGTGTCATAAATAATGATACCATTCGAAGTTTCGTTTTATCTGATCTATGTTTATATGTAGAAAACAACGTTTGATTTCAAATGAGCCGCTATTCAATTCTTTATAAAATCGTACGAGAATATCAGATCTTATCTTCAAAATTGGCAAAAGAATCAAAGAACATTGAGCTTATCCGATATTATGTATCGATTTCTAGAGGATGTTTTTCAAACAATTTTCAATACTTGACTCTTTTATTTTGGGCGTAAGAGACATAACATAGAAACTTCATTATGGCAATAGAAGTAGCTCTTTGTTGAGAACAAACTTTCATAAGAAAAGCTAACCCTTCTAAATATCCAGATATGATGAAATACTTAGCCTTTAAAAGTTTCCATATACAGCAGCTACCGATCTATTGCCAGAAAACAGATAAATAATCCTTGAAAAACATAGGCTGTAATGAATAAAACTTTGCTTACAAGTTGTTGTATGCTAGAAACTGTTAAATATTGAACGAATAGACGATTATCCAATTTTCGCGACCAGCTTTAACATTAGATTTAAGGCTATCACGCGATTTTTTGGAGAATAGAATAATAAATATTTCGAGGCTAAGCGCAGTGCTCTATTTACAAATATGACCAAGATAAATAAAAAAGCTGTTGGTGCAATCCTTGTGGGATTAAAATGTGAAACACGATATAGCTGCTGTTGCTAATCATAGGGATATTGTTTTAATCTGTCTACACTTCTTCACCTTGCTTTTACTTAATCATTCAGAAATACAATAAAGAAGTAGTTAACATATTATTCTCAGCTATTATTGTCATACGATCTGTAATCATATGTCAAGAACGTCTATCACAGTTTATGATGTTGTCCAATCAGTATATGTTGCAGTCTGTGGGAGGAGAGTGAAAACTTTCATCCTATATACTTCAACATTCTTATTAGATCGTGTTTTACAAAATATGAACGAGGACATTATATTTAGTGCACCAGTTAGATTAGTAGCGAGAAAGCCAAAATCGATGGAATTAAATATTATATGATAATTATCCTTATATATGATTCGCAATGTTTTTACTTTTCGTTTCAGATCTTTAAAATTACAAAATAGTATTCATTACTTATAAGCCATGAATGTATGTTTTATTATTTATTCTTAATGAAATGAGATATAAAATTTTAGAGATTAAGAAAGGATGAGTAAAAGAAAAAAAGAGATTTATTTTGTTGAACTTGGATCCTTAATAATATCCATTTTATAATCCGGACGAATTGCTCGAGCAAAACTATCAGCATATAAATCAAGACGTTGTGTCATTCGAAAACCCCATTTATCTTTCATTTGACGACTTAAATTCAAGTCACATTCAGTAACTAAAAGTCCATCACGAATTCGAGATAAACCCTGAAAAAAAAACGAATTAAACAAAAAACAATAGTTTTTCTTAAAACTCACAGGTGTTCGACTACCATCAGGTGATGCTATATAACTACTTCCTAAAAGAAATAAAACAATTTAACTTATTATCAAATTCAAAATATTACCATAAAAATGTCCAAAATTTTTATGAGCTGGTTTACCATCACCACTTGTAAATTCATTTGGAAACGCTTCAGTTCCAACTCGATTAATACCAACTGCAAAGTAACTATTTGCAATAGCTGCATTACGTGCTTCAATACTCCATAAAGGTTCACTAAAAAAGTTTCCAAATTCAAAATTTATAATCTCCGAAATACATTTTAATTTTACCTAAGTGCTCCAACTGTCGCACTTGGATTAAAAACGACTAAAAACAAAACAAGTTTGTTTTTTTCTCTCTAAATACTCGACATAAAAACTTACTTTCGGCACCATTTACACCATACATAAGCCAGTTTTGTGGATGATGACGTCCATAGCAAATATTTACCGCAATTCGACCTATAAGAAAATGGCAAATAGATATTTTTCATAATATACAATGAAAAAAGAAAACAAAACATACCAAAATCTGTTTCGAACACTTTATGACCTGTATTGCCTTCCATATAGTAAGTTGACTAAATAAAAAATTTTGAATTGTGTATCAATGAACTAAATCAATAAAAATTACTTCATTAAAATCACCAACTAGAAAAAGAACAATAAAATAATGACATTGAATTATTAAAACTAAAAAAAAAACAAAAAAAATTACCTCTTGGAATATGATTTTTTCGTGTAATACCAATAACATTACCACGATTTGAAATAATTACTGCTGTATTCCAAAAAACATCGCCATGTGCTTCATCACGTTCTAATATTGGACTAACAATAACCATATTATATTTTTTTGCTCTCTAAATTTTTAATCATCAAATAAACAAAAAACATATTGATTTATACGAAATTCAAACTTCGGCAAGAAACTTTGTTGTTGGTCCATTATATGCTGATTCAGCAAATTCAACCCAAGGATATTTTTCTCGTGTACAAAAAGCAAATGGCATAGCTAAAATTCAATAACCGTTGTCAACAATAACAAGTTCTATTGAGAATACATACTCCACGCTTCTTGCATACAAACTACATTTACTTGACATTCATGCGCAACAGCAAGCATTTGATCAATACGTTGATGAATTGCATTTCTCTATTATATATATGCATCTAATTAATATTTTAAAGAAGAGAATTTTTTATCATACTTGTTCTTCAACACTAGCTGTAGTTGGTTTTTGAATAGCATTTTGAATAGCACCAATACGAACTAAACGTGGTGGTCTTGTTTGTTCTTTTTGTGCTATTTTAATTTGATAACCTTGAAGATCAAAATTATTTTTTTTAGCTGTTTCTTTTGCCTTAGTTGGTAATTCAAGGTCACTTAATTTAAAAGAAGAAAATGAAAAAAAAAAAACTATAGTTCATAAATTTAATTCTTTATACTTACGTTGCACCTGGCCCACGAAGAGATAAATTTACTTTTTCAAGTACATCTGCTGGTAGATGTTCAGCTAAAATTGATTCTAAACTTTCAAATTTATCATCTAAACTAGCAGCCATTTTATCTAAAATAAGAACAAAGTTTCATCTTCTCATGTCTTATTAAAATATCAATAACAATCGAATGAAGAAGAAACGCAGATCACATTTGTAAGATAAGAAGCAATTTTCAACAAAAAAACATGCACTATTTAATACAACTAGAGAAGGTTATCTGGTTTTTGTCAAAAATAAGCCTATTGGACATAAGTAAATATTAAATCCTTTGTTAATGCCAAGCTTAGAACTCTAATACGTTAGTAAGCATAACAAATACTATGCTTTTCAGTCTTGGTGATATTTTTTTTTGATTCAAATTTCATAAATTATATGTAATGATCCATAGATTTGATTTAATACCTTAATCAATGATAAGAATAGTTATTTTCGTTGTCAAGGGAAATATAAGATCACTATTATCATAATGAACAAACAATAAAATACTAGATCATGCCTGGAATCATTCCTAAAATGATATCTTCTTACTTTTAATGTAAAATCTAAATAATTTATGATGAGTTTACTAGGTAATCTTTTATTTGAAAAAATTCAATTATCCGTGTATTTCTTGAAACTAAAGTTACATGATTGTAATATATATTCAATACTCTTGAATCTCTAGAGTTACTATTTATTGTTAAGGATATAAGTTCAACTTAAATACACATCGTATGATAGAACAAAAGAGTGATAGTAAGTGCAGAGAAAAAAAAACAATTGCTTAGTGCTTTATCATTGTGTAAATACAGTATGTGTGAGTAAATACAGCTGTTTAAGTTTGACTTTATTGCTGAAATTCAAATAAAAGTGCACTCAAAGCAGATGTAGATTTTCAATTTCATCATAATATAAAAGACATAGTGAAAGATGATGAGTATTGTTTTTAACAAAAAGGAAATAGTCATACACAATCCGAAATCTTTAACAAGTGAAGAAAACACATGTGAGTAGAATAACTGAAATAGATGTGAAGATCTTTTTAATGTCATTTTGGCAAACATTTAAAAACAAGAAAACAAACAAAAAAGTATTTTTTTAATCAAGCATTTCAAACAATTGGCCTTTTTTCCAACCAACTAAATTTTTTCTTCCATGTGCACTACTTATTATTGTTGCTGGAAATAATAAACAAGCATAATCTTGTTTTTGATCATCAGCTTTAAGTTCAATTTTGACATAAAGTGAAATTGATGGATATATTTCTAAAACAGGTAACGACATTGATGCTACATTGCTATCATTTGGATTTATTGGACATTTAACATTCATTTTACAGGCATCTGGATCTGGTAATGGAAATGGAACCGGAACACCACCAATAACACCTTGCATTAAAAAGAAAGAAATATTTTAAAAAAGAAAAGCATTTTTTCATTTACCATGAATGCTAACTGTCGCTGTTTTTGATGGAGCTTTGGCTGTAAATGTTAAATTCATTGCATATGTTTTGCCTTTTGTAAATTTGCATGGAGCTGTTGGACAATCCGTTACTTCAAATTCTTGAATTGTACCTGCCTCTGATCCACAATCTTTGAATGGTGTTCCTGCCCATAATGAATTGATCGAACAGGATAATACGACAAGAATAAATAATTTTAGCATAGTTTTTTTCGTCTGGAAATAAAGTTATTCGAACAAATTGAAAAGTGGGCATTGACACAAGCATTTATTGAAGTTTTTATTTAAAAAAGATAATAACGGCGCGATGATCGAACCATCAATGTGTACTCAGGTGGTTTTTATCTCATCTTTATCTGTTGGTGCACACACTGCTCTTTACTCTTTTAAATTTTTTTACTGTTTTGTTGGTTTAATTTCTTTTATTTCACACACGATTTCATATTCTGATGACATACGACAAAAAAAAGATAGAGAAAACAAAACTGGGCAAATAAACACATACATACACACGATCCTATAAGAGATAGACTGTGCTGTATAAATAATAAACAAGCGAAAATATAACACAGAAAAAAGCGTTCGAATATTAAATAATAGACAAATTTCACAATAAAAGAATCGACATCAAAAGTTGAGCGAGTAAAGCTATTAGTTCCGTTTTTAATTCAACAATAACAGATCGTTTTAGCTCGAATATAGATTTCTGGACCACATCTTAATATCACAGTTATCTTTACCCGCATAAACCAAAAATAATTAATGTTTTTTTTTTCTAAGTATTCGTGTTTTTTTTTTGTTCTTTAAAGAAAGAAAAACTCCAAAAAAAAGAAAACAAGCGCAGCACATCTGACAACCGATGATAAGTATTGGTGAAGAAATTAACATATTGAATCGCGTGGCTAAGTATAAACTCGGTTTAAATGAGAAATAAAAAGCAAGCATTGGATAATATATAAATCTAGCATACGAATACTACTACTTCGATCGAAGAAGAAGAAGAAGAAGAAAAACAAAATCAATCAGATCAATATAATAGAATATATGAGCAAACGGAACTATTGAGCATCAATTAACAACATTAAGACAAATCAATATAGGAAAATATAAAAAAAAAAACGAAAAAGAAATGAACACAATAAAGATGAAAATGAAAAAAAAACACACACACAATGTACAATATAATGATGAACTTTTTTTATGTGCAGTACGCATATAATTCACTGTTCAAAGAAAAGAATTTAAAAAAAACAAACCGAAGAATGAAAAAGGCACCGGGCCAATTATACAAACAAATTAGCACACATATTTTTAGACAGCTGTCACTTGTTCATGTTCGTCGTAATCGACTGTTGTTTCTTCTAGAAGAGAGAAAAAACAGAAAAAAAAATTATTTCAATTGCAATAAAATATATTTTAATCTGAAAATATGGGTAAATGGGTGAAAACTTGTAAAAAATTCAAAAAAAAGAAAAACAAAAAAAACAGTTAATGGAACCAATTTTTCAAACATTTCTGTGTTCTTTTTTTTTTCACAAAAAAATGCTTACATAGAATCTGTTCGACGTAAGTTTCCTTTAAATTAATAAAATATAATTTCTCTCTCTCTTATTTATTTATCTATATTTCATTAGCTAATAATTACCTCGATCAGGTACATCAGCTGTAGTCACTTCATTTTCTGATTGAGAACGTTGAAACCAATTATGCACCGACTTTGGAATTTGTACACCATCATGACGAGTTGCTAAAAGTAAAAAAATAACAAACAAACAAACAAATGTCACAATCAAAATTTCGAAATGTTCTCTATCGAATGCCATAGAAATGAGGGTTCTTCACTGCTAGTTAGTACTTTTCTTAAGCTCAACTTTGCATTCAGATTTTTTATGAGTTAAAGTGGATGTTGTTCCTATGAAATTTGGCAGTCTTTAAAAAATTATTGTCATTGAAAATAAACAAGCTTTTTGACAGTACTTTCAGTACTTTGCTTTTTTTGAACTCTAGGAATGATATTTCTGAAAGAAAAAAAAAAAATACGCATCCCAATTTGTTCCCAATTGTCGTAAAAAAATTGTAGCTCAAAAAAAATGATGTATAGAGTTTTTCCAAAGAAGGTTTTTCACCTTTGCAACTCCATATCTTCTTGAAGAAACCATCCCAGAATTTTGAGTCTAGGACAACTTTTATTTTACTTATTGAGATCTATCTGCCTTGAAAGTCTCATCATTTTTCGTCGAACCATTACTCTTAAACAATAATATCTTGCCAGTGAACATTCTCAACTAATCAATCGTGTTTGAACTCAAATTCTGTTTATGCAGTAGAAGAGAAATCTTTTTAGATATTCTTTTCAAATTTATATGTATTTTATTAAAGTGTTAGCCTCTAACATGGTATATACTTACAAATCGAATGATGATATTTCGATTTGTTGATATACATCATGTCACAGACTAAAATCTTAGTAAAATGCCTATAACTCTCGATAGATATCTAAGGACATTTATCTGTTGGAGTTGTTTTTATGTTTCACTGTAATCTATCTAATGCACAGACTTAAAATTCATCAATTGAAAATATTCCCTCTTTGAAAAAATTCTATAGAAAAAACAAACCATCATCTGCAATCGATTAATTATCATATTTGTTTAAACTTACTACATGTAACAGAATTTGATTGTGGTAATGGAGGTCGATTTCGAACTTTAACTGATGAAAATCCATCATTTATTGTATTAATCGATTTTTCATTTCCATCACCAACACCTAAAATATATTATTTAGAGAAAATAAATTAATAAAAGTTTTTCCTGGAACATACAAGTATCCGTTGAATTAAGACTACCACGTCCAGAATCACCACCACCTTCCTTTATTAATTCACTATGACTTTGATGTAATTCTTTAAATAAAATAATTAATTAATTAGTAACTACATTTTTTGTATTGTTTAAATATTTTCTAACTTACGAGTATGAGATCGCATAAGATGTATATATGATGTTGATGTTGGTGATTTAAAATTTAAACTTGAACTTTCACTTGTTAATTTATTTGTATCACGTATTTTTGCTATATGACGATGATGATGAGTCGGTTCATTTAATGATGAAAGTCCTGTTGTTGTTGTGGTTGTTACACTACTTATTATGGGTGATGCTGTATTCGGTACTGATGTACTTAAAATATTAGATGGTGTTGGTGTATGAATTGGTCGTTGTGGTGCACGAGCTTTTGTTTGATGACTACTGTCCGTTAGACGAAGTAATTTGTTAACGGCATCCGGTGATTGTGTGCCTGAAAATATTCGAAAGAATAAAAAAAAAAAAAGAAATAATTAACAATTATTTTTTTTCTGTGTAGAAAATGTAAGCATAATAGCAATGAGGTAAACAACATGCGGGAACAGAGATATTCCGAGCGAAGGACGAAAAGGGAACGGATGACTTGTATTTCGAAATATAATGAAACTAATTGTATAAATAATTTTGTTACAATCGTCAAAGAAATTGAAAAAGGAGTTGCCCAAAAATGAGACACTTCAAGTACATTTTCTCAATCTAAAACCGTGCTCTGTATAATGGTAATAAATATTTTTTAATTTGCATGTTTAACTTCAGAGAAAAAAAAATAGTACTGTTTTTTTCTACAGTCTTATTCTAATGACTAGTCCCATAAAATAAGCAATCCGCCTACATGCAACCTTCAAAGTTTGCCAGAATGCTTTTCTATCTACTGTTTCTCATTTGTGTTAGCACAAACATTTCTGGACTACACAATGAATTTACACAAAACATAGATTTTTCTGGCTTTTGGAAAATATTTAATCGATAAAAACAGTATATTCTGAATTAATGAGTTAAGCTGCATCCAATGATATATAACAATGTTTCTTAAAAATACTTTTCAGTGTCATATCCAATAATTTCTGAGCAAAGAAATCCGTTTCAGAGTAAGAAAGTCGCATGTCTACCTACCATATGAAACATATACATTCTATAGTTTCTAATTTTGACAAGTTTTCATTTTTTTCCAGTGTTTAACTATTTTTTCTTTCCTCACTTATTGTCAATAAAACACTCAACTTTAACAGAAGTCTTCTAAATGATCTTCTAATGAGAAAATTCCTATAACTAATAAGTTGTTTTTGAGTTAAGACTATCTGCATAAAAGCTTACGCCTTTCGTTTATTTCTGTGGAGATAAAAGAACTTTTACCGTAGTTTTAAAATGAATGAATGTCTAGTAATGTGAAACAAAATTCTTCTTAAATATCGACTTGATCCTTTGCATAGAGACAGATTGTAAAGAGAGTAGTTTATTGTGAAAAACTTCACATCTTTTGATTTGCTTCTATCCTGAAATAAGAACATTAGATCTATTTGATTTATATAAGCGATGTGAAAGACATGCTGTTACTATAACCATATCTTAGAATAGGAACAGCAACAAGATTTAAAATATTCTCAGTAGAGTTTGTCTCTATTCATTTGGTTTTACATAATATACATAGTCTCGATTCAGAATTTCGTTACGAATCATTCATTCCCTCTCAATCCTGACGATCTCGGAACATGCTCGATACAGAAACCAATATAACTGACACAAAATAAAACACATATAAACATCATTCGTTTATTTTACCTGAAAAACTTCCTAAACAAAAGAAACATCAATTAAAAAATTTTATTTTTCTTTGAACAGATATCCATTGAAAACTCTTATTTAAGATAAATTAGAAAAATAAAATAAAATAATATACCGAATTTCGTCAATTGTATAGAACCAGCACGACGATCACATGATGAATTTGATGATAAACTTGATGTTGATGGTGATGGACGACGTTTAAGTGTGCTGACTAAATTAGAAAATAAATAAAAGATAAGTTAAAAATTGAATTCTAATATAAATTTCTATGATTAAAATAAATAGAGAGCAAGCGGCAAACTAGTTGATGCTTAGTGACAGAGAAAAAGACAAGAAATCGTTAGATGGTCTAAGTATGCTTCTTATTGGCTAAAATACCATTGAACAAAGCACTTTTAAAAGCACTAAATATTGTTGGCGATGAATCCGTACGTGATCGAGCATCAACATTATTATTATTATTACGATTATCATTATTATTATTATTATTTGTTTCATCACTTTTAATAAGTGTATTAGGTTTTTCATTTTGTATAACATCATTGTTTTGATCATGTGCTTTTGAATTTGTTGGTGTATTCACAATAACAAATTCATTATCATCATTATTTAATGAAAGTTTAAAAAATAGCCTTGATGAAGATGCAGGTGTATTTCCTACTTCAACTAAAGGAAACAAACGTGCGTATATTTTCAATACTTAAAACAAATAATATATATATATATGGAAAAAAAACAAGACATGCGCATACACATTTTTTGTGATATCATAAGAACATGCTGTTCAATTCCTTCGTTTTTTTTTTCTATGCGCTAAATATTCTCACCAAAATCATTTATTTTTTGATTTGTATGCTCAAAGAAATGAAAAACTAGAATAAAAATCTCATTTTATATTTTTGAATAAACGATTGAATTATTATTTTGATTTTGTCTTATGAAACTTTCGAAATCAAAACTAAATCTTTTTTACCTGGTTCACATTGATTGGCTATATCCAATAGACGATTTTCATCTTCGATTATTTCAGCATTATTTAAATAAGTTTTTACTTTTTTAACCATTAATGCCTAAATATAAAATAATAATTTTCTAAAGTCCAAAAAAAAAAAATAAATAAAAGATTTTTTACTTCATCATAAATTCGTTTACCATTTGCCATAACAGATAAACGATTACCAAATTGGTGTCTTCGCATTGTACCAAATGAATCTATCATTGATTGATGGCCAAAACCGGCAAATATTTGTGGATGAGATGTTGGAGAATCGAACATATTTGAAATATCCTTTAAAGAAAAATATTAATTTATTAATTGAAAAATTCTTTTTAAATATATATATATATTTTTTTTTTTTTTGATTTACATAAGGAGAAGATGCCATATTTGTAATATGTCGAATTTCTTTTGCAATCATACGAAGCTTTTCGAAATTAATCTAGAAAAAACAAAGAAATAATTTTTTTTGTATAATATTTCTTGTTTTTGATAGATTACTAAGCCATCATCTTGTGTTGGATTTCCCAAATGTATAAATGTCAAATCTTTCATACACACCGGGAACATGGGAATCTAAAAAAAAATAAGAACAAAGAACATTTGTAATATATTTAATAATAAGTCTTTTATTACTTACAATAGGTGGAACAACAAATTCATTTTTTAATAAATTTCGATAGACAGACATATTTCGGGATAAATCAAGCAAAGATTTAAGTTCCTGAAAAGAAAAAGAAATATTAAATTTAAAGTATTACAAGCAAATGATTTTGATTCATGAGATTTAGATGAGGTTTTGAATTACATTCATAGATTTATATTTCGAAAATATGAAAAGATGAGAACTTATAAGATGTGGTTATAGGGTATTTAAACTTCATTTTTTTCATATAGAATAAAAGAATTATTCGAGTCAATGAATTGATAAATCATTTTTCAGATATGTCTTACCTCATTATAGAAAAAGCTTTGAAAAAACCGTATATATATATATAGGTTTTTATGATTGAATTATGATAATTTTGATTCATTTTTTTGAATAAAAGTTGTAGACTCTTTCAGATCATCTACAAAGCGGCTGTTCAGTCCAATACTTTGTATAAATAATGGTCTCAATAGGATTAATTCATTGTGAAAATATCAGACTTCCTAGTATCTCCTTTTTTTTCAGATATCAATATCAAACATTTGATTCTAAAATTTGTTCTTTTATTTATATCTCCAATACTAAGAAGTCTGACAATTTCGCAACTATGCAGAACGATATTTGCACATTTCTTGAACTCAAAACTTGAGAGTCAATTTTAAATGTAATATAAGAGTAACTATGATCTTCCGTTACAAAAAAGTTGATTGAAATGATCATAATTAGACATGTGTAGAGTTAGTGTCGTTCCTGTTCTCATCAATGAGGACTGTAACTTATCGAGACAAAATCTTTTATTTCAAAATTTACTCAATCGACATTTTTCTTTGAACATCGATACAAAGTTACAACAAATTTAAATTTCTTTTCAAGTTCAACTTGGACTCGCCACCTTTCCATAGAGTCTATGAAAGTCGCATCCCATGTTTTTTTCTATTTTCTTTAAAAAAAAAACAACCTGCCGCTTTCTCTTCAAGAAAAGCGAACAACAATAACAAAGTTTCATTCAGTTTTATATATATGATCCATTTATTTTACGTCTAGATCCAAATGTAATCAACAGAAAATTCTTCTCTGAAATTTGTGCGAAAGAACTTTTAATTTTTGCCTAGTTCATTTCTGTCTATGCAGTAAAATAAAATTTTCATCTCCCAATTCTTTTTTTACCATTTCTATTTCGCAATTAATTGACCTAAGACTCTAAAACAAGAAAACTTCTTAAAAAAAACAAAAACAACTCAGACTAATCATTATACTTTCAAATATTCATATGCGATAACATATGATTCGAATAAATAATACATTTTAAAATAGTCCTATCTAATACTGTATTCAAATCCATAATGCAACAAACAAAAGAAATCATAGATAGTATTTGTTTTTGTAGCATTAATTATTTTTAGCATACGCTTTTATTTTGAATATTTTTCTTACTTCAAAAATTTTCTTATGTTTATCTTGAACACGTTCCCAAGTCGATTGTAAACGTTGTACACTTTTATGATCAAGTCCACTAACAATAGCAAACATTGAATTAAAATTTTTCATATCTTTACAACATTCTAAATGAAATAGATTTTGAAAAAAAAAATCAAGTAAATGTGACGAATCCTTTTTTTTCTTCCTTACTTGCAATTTTAATAAAATGTTTAATAACTTTTGAACGTTGTATTAAATGACTTTCACGTAATATTTCTGTTATTGTCCAATACATTTCTTGATTGGGTAATTTAAGAAATTTTTCAAGTTGTGGTATACCATATAAAGATTTTAATTTAAATATATGATCAATATATTCAGTTGTTTGAATTGATTTAAATATTGAAAAATCACGTAATGTTAATTGTGCACATATTTCAAGTGCATCTAATTGAAGAAAATTAATACGTGCTTCACGTAATAAATCATTTGATAAGTGATCAGGTACAAGTGTTTCAGTTAAATGATTATTTTTTAAATAATAACGAGCATTTACTGGAAGACGTTCGGGTAAATTGTCAGTATGATCAGGTAAACGTTTTTGTTTTATAACACCATTTTCAACTGATACTTCACATAATGAATAACATCTTAAGAGAAAAAGAAAATATTAATATTCAATTTATGAATTAAGAAATTATTTTCGAAGAATATATAGAAAAAAAAGAAAAAAGAAATCGAGCAGAAAAATATATAGAAGAGAAGCGATTTTGCATTCATGTTTATATGGAAAAAAAGGAAAGAAAAGAAGTGTAATATCATCTGTGATAGTTTAAATAGAAAATGTGATTAAGCATTTATAGTAATGTGAGATTCATTGTATATCATAAAATAAAATCTTCTAGCATTACTATTTTCAGTAAAGAGGTTACTATATCACGTGTTTAAGAAGAAATATATCAAGTCTAATTATCACAAATCATAGCAAATATTTCCATCTCTTACGTATGGTACAAGACATCGTTCTTTAGAATATAGGTATGAGCAAAACCAGCCTTTTTGGGTGCTCAATAAGTAAGATCTTGCCCATATCTATTTAGAATACATGAGCTGTGACGATAGGACATTCGAAACAAGTGTTACATGACCATAACAGGCATTGTTCCCAATGAAAAAGTTTTGATTTTTGTCCTAGAATCATTTTGTCTATATGTAATAGAAAATGCACCTCTGAACAAATATCTTTGTCCTCATCAGATGTTAGTCATTATAATCGATAGAGATAGGAAATCTTGTGTGTCTCTATTCTTCAAAGTATGTGAGTTATCAGAACTATTGAGCTTTCGCTTGCTCGAGTCCAAAAGTGAGTTTTGATGCAAGCTTCATCACTTTGAAAGACGACTGATTGAAATGTGTTGTGCTTCTTATTAAATATATGATTAATTTTGAAACTTTTCACATGTAATTTAAATCTAATCTGTCATCTTTCTTATTCGATAAGATAAATTTATTTGCTCAAATATTAGTGTCTTTGGATCATCGACACTAAGATGATGATTAACCATATCTAATATAATCCAATATTATATTTGATTCTGAAATTTACTGAGAACAGTTTCAAGATATAAAAAAAAAGATTTTCTCAAGTTTTCAGATAAATGTATTGAACTGTCACTAAGTAATGAATCTTGAAAGAGCAATATATGATTTTTGAATACCGATAGTTAGAATAAAATGACCACAATTCTTCAATAGATTGATGAAACTTCACGAAACTTGTAGACACATAACTGTAACATCACCCTCTACTGAAGCCTGTGGAGTACGGATTTTTGTATAAGCCTACATTCGTAAGGAACTATGGATGCGGAAACTTTTCGAACTCTATTCCTTATGGTGGCTATCATCCGGTGAGAGTAAAACAGTTTATCCGAATATATAACTGTTGTGCTTCACGTAAAAATTTTGTTTTTAAATATACAATGATCCTACAATCGAACAAATACTTATTAGAGCTTCGCGTGGGATAATATAGGAAAGAGAATTTTCCATTCCATCTCTTACCACATGGGACAAAAAGTTTTGGGATTAGTGTTTCATCCGACATAAGATAGTTCACGATAGTCCATCATAATACGAAGCCCTGATTTCTATAGATTAAAGCTAAAACTAATTAGTACTTTTTCAAATATTGAGCATGTGAATTTAATATTGATTTTTAATTTAATTCAATGATTAAAAGAAAGCAATGGATACTCTGAATTTAAATATCATAAATCAAAAGTGATTAAAATGAAAAACTAAAGATATATATATATATATATATTGAAAACGAGCATATAGCGATAGAAGATAAGTATTAAATAATAAACTTACACATTGTCATAGAATATACTTTCCCTGAATAAGGTAAAAGAAAAAAAAATATATAGCGTAAATTAAATAATCCATAATAATACCCAAAACATGCACTTTAGATGTTTATTTATTAGTTAAAAAGCAAAACAAAAAACAGACAAAAGAAAAGTAAAGTTTTTCCTAACCCCTCAAAAATAATAATCTTACCGAAGTACATCAAACTCTACACGGGAAGATGAATAACTAGAAAAATGATGAGGATTATATTTAATAGAGAAACTAATCTCATAGATAAATAGTAGATATGTAAAAAAAGAAATACAATAATCATCTATCTATTTACCTGCTTGGATCAATAATACCAAATTCAGTTATAGCTAACATGACAACTTGTTTTGCTGTTGTTTCCTAAATAAAATTAAATTTCTTATCTAATAAAAAAAATTTTTCTTTTCTTTACCTTATGTACAGGTAAAAATTTATATGATTGATCACTTCGAAAAACTTTAAGAACAAATGCTGAATGATCTTCATCGTTATTTGGTATATTTGTTGATGATGACATTGATTTAATACTAATTGATGATGGTGATAAATCTGGATTACTTGTACTTCGATTAATAGTTTTATTATTTTGTGATGATGAAGTACTCGAATCAAAACCATTATCGACATCAGTTGTATCAAGTTCACTGAAAAGAGAAAACAAAAAATAACAATTAAATAAGATTTGTATCAATTAACCATCCATTGACTTCAAAAAAAAAAAAAAAACTAAAGGTTACAGTTTCTGTATCTAAAATCCCTTTTTGACATTTATTTGTAACATGCTCGTGTAATAGAAAGATAATATCGATCAAAAGCATCATTCACTTTTCTTTTTAGAAAAAAAAAAAAAAAAAAAGAAAACCAAAAATCTGCAATCGTTTGATCAACGATGACACAAGTAAGAAGCAGTAATAATATTTTAGGAAAAGAATGGAAAACATTTAGAGACTATAGTGTTCATTGTAAAATAAAAAGCAGGTGTATAATGAGAATATTTGGTGCAAAAATCTTTTTTTTTTTTTTTTGTGATACTGACAAACATTAAGAAACAAAATTTATTTAACGTTACCTTGTTGATCTGAAAAAAAAAACAAGGAAAAAATTGTTTCGTTTTTTAATTTTAATTTCTAATATTAACAAGTGAAACGTATTTATTTTCTTTTTTTTTATTTTCGTATTTAAAAATAAAAATTAATTACCGAAACATGAGAATGACTGCTTTTGCATTCAGATGCGCATATATAGATTGATAAGCATATATAATATTCATACAGTACCCAAGAATAAATAATTATATACGGCAAAATATTAGAACAAGGTATGTAGTACAAGAGAGATGCAAGTCATTTTTTGTTTTCTATTTAGTAGACTTGAAAAAACAAAATTCTCATTTTGTTGTATTTTTAAAATAAGTAATGGATAAATTTTTATCTTTTATCTACTACACTTGAATCATAGTTCATAGGATTATCAAATTTTAAGAAAAATGATTGATCGTAGAAAATCTTTAATCGATTTCATTTTAACTTTTTTAATTAATATTTTCAGTGTTCAATAAAATAAAAAGATGAATGAATTCTGTTGATCTCATATGATATACGTTTTTACAATAACATTCAATTTAATTCGCACGTAAAATTCTCTGATCACATTATATATTAAGTAATGGATAAAGAATTTTTTAAGACAAAAAAAAAAACAAAAGAATATTGTATGGTCAAGATTTGTTCTTAGATGATCAGTAACTGCAGATTAATATCTATATTTTTATCGATTGTGTTTTATATAATGAACCTTATTAGTGAACTGATTGTTGGTCATGCATATATATATATATGAAAAGTGATCGTATAGTAGCTTATACGTTGCTATGGGCGGTCTCTTTTACTTTCATCAGTCATTCTCGATTGTCTTGTCAGCATGATACAAGCAAGACAATGCAAACTGAAACATGAAAGTAAAATAGACTGCTGTTCTTAGTAACCAATGAACCAGTATATGGATACTATATATATACATATATATGCGTGGTCAACAAGTCATTTAGGAATAAAGTTCATTTCAATATTTTCTTCTAATTACATTCAATCTAAAAATTTCTACTCTTTTATCTATAAGATATGAAAAAACTAACGGTATTTCTACTAAAAAAAGGAATCAATTCAATTAAATTATATAATAAATTTTCTTCTTTTTTGTTAAATTCTCTTCTAGTTTAATGTTAAAGAACAACAACCATTATCTGTTTTCTCACCACCTGTATCCACGGTAACAATGAGTAGTTCATCGTTACAATTAACAGATACAAATGAAGATAATAAACATATTATTAAAATTCCAAGTGGAGATATCTCAACAATACAAACATCAACTGTAAATCTTGATAGTAGTGAAGATGATGGTACTGATAGTACAATACCCAATGAAAATAAAAAATTTCGTTTATTTAAATTAAAATTATTTTTTAAACATTATATAAAACATTTAAAACTTGTATTTCAATCTATAATACCTGATTTAAAATCATTTAATTGGTGGCAAGCTTTACTACTTATTTTATTTGCTGTATTTAATGTTGTTTTTTCTATTTTGGTAAGTTAGGTTTTTTTTTGTTGCTTCGATTCTATTTTATTATTTTCCTTGTTGTTTTTTATTTAATATTCAAAGGATTTTAATTCAAATAAACAAAGATATTCAATATTAAAATTCATAAATGATTATTATTATGGTGTACCATTATGGCGTCGTATATTATTATGTTTATCTGGTTTTGCAGCTTTTACTAATATACTCAATGTTGTTTTAGTTATACGTGGTAAAATTTCATCATATTTTTGGGGTATTATAGGTGCTATTATATATGGAATATTTTCATTTGCATATGGTTATGTTGGTGATGCACAATTATATACATTATTTTTTTTACCAATGCAATTTATTGGTATATATATGTGGTCAAAAGAATTAGATAATCAAGCAACAACACGTGTTAAAACATTAAACTTATTTGGATGGATATTTATTATATTACTTTCTATAGGATTAAGTGTTGTATGTTTTTATGAAATACCAGCTTTTTCAAAATTATTAACATCACAATATTTTTTTGAAACTATGTTATTACCACATATACTTGATGCATTAACAAATGCATTAAGTATTGTTGCACAATTTTTACTTATATTTTGTTATTGCGAACAATATATCATATGGATTATTGTAAATATTATGGCTATTATTATGTATAGTGGTAAATAACATAGAATAAGGAATTGATGAAAAAAAAAAAAAAAGAACTTAACAACAACGTATTTTTTTTCTATAATATTAAGTAGACTTTTGTCTTTTTCTGGATATGAAAATCAATTTTTTTTTTTTTTCTTTTCTAATTCGAACTTCTGACATTGTTGAGTGCGAGCAGTTTTCTATCAATCTAGCTGAAGACATATAAAAAAGTTCTTATACATACGAAAAATTTTGTTAATAACTATTTCGAGCGTCTACTTGTTTTTTTAGTATTTAAAATTATGGCTATAGGGATTTTTGGATAAATTTTACACATAACAAAGGTATGTGTTTTTCATATCTTTGAGATCTTGTTATTCTAACAAACGAAGACGAAAAGAAACTATAAGATTTCTATGTTGTTGTTTATTTTATATTATTTTTTTCTAACAATTTCTATATGAAAAGAGATCTATTTTTTTCTTTTTGTTTCTTATTTGAAGGTCTTGTTGGAACGGATCTTAATATCAATTTATTAGTTGTTATGATTATGTTTTGTATTAATTCTTTCATTGGTTTATATATATGGTTTTCTCGATGGAAAAATTTTAATAAAACTGTAAAAATCTAATTTTCGAATTTCTTCTTTTTTTTTGTTTTTACTTTTACCTATTATGTTTTGACATTTTAAATTTTTGCATAACGGCACGCTTAAAACCCATACGTTTAGTTAATGGACGTGGTTTTGTTTTTTCTGTACATGTTGTTGAAAGATTACTTCTTGTTGGTGTTATTGTTGATAATGGTGGACGGATTAAATTAGATGATGATGAATTATCAAGAATATAAGAATCTGATGGACTATTCATTGTTACAGATGATGTATTACTTCTTGATGGTGGACTTGTTGATGCTGAACATATGGGAGATAAATTATTTAATCTATTTCGAATTTCTTGTTCACAAAGAGATATATCATAACGTTTTTTTCGACTAGGAGATTTTTCAGGATGAACAATATCATTAAGACCTAAAATGAATATTTTATATGTTAAAAATTCCAAAAAAAAAAAAATAAATTTATTTACCCATAAGATTATTTTTTACAGTTAATGATAAATGAGTTGTACTACGAAGAATTTCAAGTGCACGAACATGAGTTAGATAATCGAAACATTGTCCATTAACACTAAGAATCTGTAAAAAAAAAATAAAGAAAAAACGATATACAAGGGTTCACTTTAGACATCATAAGGCGTCCATTAACAATGTCAATAATAGTCGAACTCTATCATAACAAAGTTAAAGATATAGAAGTTTCAACATTTTTAAGCATTCTGATTAGGTCAATGCCTATAGGGAATTTCTCTATTGAAAAAAAATGATGTCATGATTGTATTGAATTCTATTTGCATTAACAACTATTAGGATGAACTAATTTAGATTTTGATATTCTTTTTCTAGAAGCAAAGTTCTAGGAGATGAACTTTTTTTGTTAAACGAAGAGTAGTACAAATAAATATGAAAGTTTTAGTAATCAGAAAACTAATTGAATTTTATTTTTTCATTTATTTATAACCTACATGTCGAATATGTATACTAATATTTTTGTGAATTTTTCTTTCTTTTATTTCAAACATATTAAAATTACCTGATCACCTCTTCTTAATCCAGCTTCATAAGCTTTAGTATTTTTTTCGACTTTCGATATAAATATACCATTATTTGCTAATGTATCAGTTCCTCCGAGTATATTAAAATTTAATACATCATCTCGTGTTGATCTTGTTAAAGTAATATTACGTATACTAGCTTTTGTATAACAAGCTAAATTTATTAAATGTCTCCATGATCGAATGTGCTGAAAAAAAATAAATAAAAACAATTGTTTTGTTTTTTTTTCGTATTTTTATTTATTTTAAATTTTACTTCTAATTCATGATTTTGTAGTCGATCATCAAATATTTCAAGAAATTCATATAATTTTGGATTTGTTTCAAAATCATTATAATGATTATTAACCCATGATAAAACAACACGTGCAATATGTTCACATGTTATTGAATTTTTATATTGATCAAAATATTCAAGTAATTTATTTGTTACTATTGTTGGATTATCAATAAATGTTCGATAAGTTAAAAGAAAATCTTGAACATAATTTGGATCATTTATTAATTGTACCTCATCAACAAGTAAATCGAGTAATTTTTCAGTTGTTGCCTTAAAAAAAAAAGATTTAATTGTTTTTTTTTTTTTTTTGTCAAATAAAAATCATACTTTTATAACTATTTCACGTGGCATATTTTGTTCATCATCATTTATACGTATTTCTTTAATCATTACAATTTTACCATTTTCTTCAATTTTTCGAATATTTTTTTCTCCCTTGAATTAAATAAACATTTTTATTAATATAAACTAATAAAAAAAAAATAATTAATAAATTACTTGATTTAATATAGCATAATAATCATTTTGTGCAACAACGACAAATTGACAATTATCAACACGTGTTTTCATAATACCCGTATGACAATATTGATCAAGTGTTGGACCACAACCAAAACTTTGTCCAACAGTTAATGTACGTATAAGTTGTCCATCAACTGTTTCATCATCAACAATACCATTAATTATAACTGACCAGGAATCGTAACGTTCACCATCATTCATAACAACAGTTTGAGCTTTTTCAACTTGAGCATAAACAAGAACTTTACATAGTTCACGTCGAACATGTACTGTTAAATTAGCAAATGCCTTTGAAAACAAAAAAAAAAAAGAAAATTTTCATAAAGCATAGCGCCAAAATCTTGGCATAAAATATTAGCGTATTCTTTTTAGGCTATAGTATCAAAGTTTTTCACTTTTTCTTCGAGACTAACGATGAAACCTCCTCAGTAGAACCCATTAGGTTTGGGTCAAGAGAAAAGAATTCAGAAGTTTTGAACAAAGTCTCTTCGAGGTATGAGAATTTCAAAAAATGCACGTTGTATACATGATTCGTGAAAAAAGTTTTATAATCTTGAAAGTCTCATATTTCGAACAGACGATTCGAAACTTTACTAGTTCAGTTCGAGATCAAAATTCAAAAGTTTAGTTAAATCTCAATAGAAACTGGAATTGTTTTCGCATTTTTATTAAAACACTACGTAGTACTTATAAGTAAAAAAAGTCATTAAAATCCGAAGGTAGTATCTGAGAAGGTTTCCCCGTAAGATTGAACAACTATTAGTGAATTTTGTAAAAAAAAAAGTTCCAAATTTGTGTCTATACAATCAAAATGGCTGCTTTTTCTTTATGTCTTGAAACAGCTGTAACTCAACATTATTATAGATTACTAAATAAAATAAATCTATACGTTTTCACTAACGAGCAAGTTTCTATGAAAATTGGCATGGGTAAAAAAAAATTGCTCTTTTAGAAGTGATCTTTAAAAGTACAACGTTTTGAAATTTGTTATACAAACGTAAACAGCAGATCTTGTAGAGTAAACAACTGTTTCTCATTTTTTAATTTCATATAATTCAATCGAAATATCAAATTGACCTATATATCATTTAATACAATCACTATTCAGGGTACATATTTGGAAAGAACAAAAATAAAAATCTGATTTTAACTTTAATTGTCTTTTTATGTTAAAATTTCCGCACTATATATAGATTATTATTCAAATAAAAATTCTTACAGGAAAATGAATAAGACATTCCAAAATAGCTTCAATATCATCATCAGTTCGTTCATTTGCGTCTTTTAATAATGACTCACGTATATGATCATGAAGAGGAAATGAATGCTAAATAAATAAAAAAAAAAAAATCAAATATATTCAACATTGTTTTTTATATAATAATTAAAATTTTACTTCTGATGATGTTTCAGATTCATCATCCGTTTCATGAATACTTATACAACGACTTAAACCTCCATCATCATTTTGTCCTAAAGAATTTTCTACATTATTTATCATTAAAAGATCTTCACCATTAGTTGATGATTGCATAACATCTGATCCAGAATAAGCACTTGATGTATCACTAGCACGACTATGTGAACTACGAATCATCGATGAGGGAATATCGTTCATATTATTTATTGTAATAGAACGCTATAAAATAAAACTAAATAAAATAAATTTATCTTTTTAAATAATTTTTACTTGTTTATTTTGTGGATTTTTTTTTCGATGATTAGGTATTGTCGAATTTGAATCCATTATAATAGTTTGCTGTTCTTCAACGGGAGTGATTGCTTGTTCGTTTTGATAATTATGTTTACTACCGATATGCTTCAATGATTCGTGATTTTGGACAGTGTGATCAAGCTCGGGATAATCAATCTATCAGAAAAAAAAAAGAAACCGAAGAGCGTAAAAAACGAGAGAGAAAAAGTACAGAGATAAAAAAACATTAAATGTATCAAAGTGTGACATCAAGTAATTTTCTATTTTTTTTTTTTTCTTCGTATTTCTATTTTTAATTATAAACGAAATAATATGTTATGTCTACTTACAACAAGCATTTCCGATGGTTCAAGTATAACACATTCATTGATCCGATATTGATTACTAGAAGTTCGTTTACCAAAACTGTTGAAATAAAAGAAGAAAAAAAAAAGACGAACGATTATGTCATGTATATTCAACTAAATGTCGCTCGATCTGTTCAAGGACAACAGTAGATGTATAGTGATGAGAGAATGAGTGAGATGGTGTTAGTATGGTAGTAGTAGTAGTAATAGTATGTGCAGGGTGAAAAAAAGAAAAAAAAGAACGAACAAGGTTAACAAATAAACATGAAATACGAAGAAGAAAGAGTGATCTGGTCTCTCTCTCTCTCTCGCCCTCGGTCCCAAAGGATACATAAAAATGTCGAAGATCATGATTAAGAACACAAAAAAGAAGAAATTACTTATTTTTTTATTTTTTTTTTTACGTACCTAGCCCTTGGTAAATACATTGTGGACTCGATAAAAACAGAACCGGATAAAAGTATATACCAACAGGTATTTAATTCGCCACGACTAAAAAAAATAAAGAATTATGAATAAGACAAAAATGTGTGCTAAACGTGAACATTCTGTCATCACTGCTCTCATAGTGTATACATAAATGTTTGCATGCACCTCAATATTCTTTGCGTCGTTTTTCTCTCTTATGAACGCTCGCGCTCTTGCATGTAAGATGCTTGCATGTATGCACTACAATAAACAATCACACTTCTCATTTTTGAACTAATATAAAAGAATGAGGGCAGAGGCCAACTGTCAAGTTATCAGACAATAAATACAACAGAAAAAAAATCAATTAGAAATTAATGGACATTATATAGGAAAACTAATGTTTATCGATAATACATCATCAGATTTAACAGATTTGGTATGGCATTATTCAAGGTTATTATCTCTCCATATATCTATATATCTATATATTTCATCTCATATACATGACGCAACATCTCAATTTGGACGTAAAGTATATCATGGCACATCTATCATCGAAGATAGATAGATAATTGACCGTGACCGTATTCCAACAATGAATGGTAGATATTCTGAGTGTATAATCATCATGATGAATATGTATGTAGACATAGTATTACCGCCAACAAGTTGTAGACATAACAAACTAAAGTGAATGTTGTCATCCGTTGAACAAAAAACAAGCCAACAAACAAAAAAAAATAGGTAAATAAGACACACACACATATATACAGACGAAATTCAATGAAGGATTGACAAGAATAATAACAAACCTGAATAAAACATGATTAGCATCATGGAATTCATATCGAATTGTTTTACATAAATGACGAATATGTGATTCACGAAGTGATGATAATGCTTCCAAATTTTTTAAATAAGAATTAATTATAGTTAAATCCTAAATCAAAAAGAAAAAAAAAAGAAATAATATACATATAAAGGACACTGTTCAATTTATTTCTTCTTCCTTCTCTTGAACTAATGGCAGACAGAAAAAAGGTATAAGTGATTTTCTCTTTTCTTTCCTTTAGAATATTTTCAAAATTGAACTTTCAAAGCTGACCGCTAAGAAAGAGAGAAAAAGGAAAAAGCAAAGTAAAAAAAATCTGTACCTATGTACGTAGTTGTAAGGACAATGGACGAAAGAATATGTATATATATATATATGTGCACTCCTGCATATGAACGTATAGCAAGTCGATTTCATCGTTGCTTCTCTCTTTTCTTTCTTTCTTTCTTCTCTCCTCTACAATCTAATATGTATGTGTCCCAATTCTGATGATTAACCATATAGTTCCCTATACTCTTAATACAAGTTAGCAATCATCTCGGATGGTGGTGGCGATGTCAGTCGATATAATCAAAGAATAGACAAGCAGACAAAGAAACAGAAAGGGAAAGAACAGCAAGCAGTCTTCGTTATTTCTTTCTTATCTTCCGTCTTCTTTTTGGTTTTTTTTGTTACTGTATAAACGTTGCAAGAACAGTTGTTGCACTCGTTTATGTTCAACGATGTGTTACTCTTCTTTTTTTTTTTGTAGTACAGAAACAAGACAAAGCATATAAAGTAGTCTTTCTTTTATTTTTTTTTTTTATTTAATTTACATAATAAGGGAATAATATAGAGTTATAATAATAATCATCATAATGCTTCAGATCATGATCGACAATGATGGTATATTACGTCAGATTTCTATGCACATGTCGGGTAAAGTTGAAAAGGGTGAACATGTCTGTTTAATCAGATCTAACAGCCTCCAGCTGAGAATAACAACATATATATTGATATATATATATATATGTATTATATATGAGATTGCAGATAGAAATTAATCATTAGTATATATAAAGAATGATAATATGACTGACGGCAAATTACTAATGATTCTATAGTTATCAATAGAACGACAAAAGCAATACGAAAAGGATTTATATTACATTAATGTTTAGATTAGATAAAATAATAATAATTTATTTCTTTTGCTTTTTTTTTTGTTCAATCAACTAACCTGAGTTGTTCGTTCCGATGGAAATTTGGCAACACTTTGACGAAATGGTAATTCAGTGCCATAAGTCAACGATACCATATTATTTGAATACATTATGTAAAAATAAGAAGAATGTATAATGTTCACCGGAATGTCATTCTATTCGGATTTTTTACTCGTCCAACAAACAAAACAAAAAAAAAAGAATTTTTTAAATATCTACAAAAAAAAAAAGAAACGAAAAAAAAATTCGACCTATACAAAAACTTATCTGGATTCTCATGTCCATATTGAAGAATAACAATAAATACTGTATTCTTAGACATGAAAGACATTGAAAGAAAACTTATTTTATATATTTAAAATTGAAATGAAAAGAAAAAGAACTTTGTGCATATCAAATAATCGATGCATAGAGACAATCGGTCATTTTCTTTTTTGTTATGTTTCGAAAAATGCAAGAGAATATACAGATAGACACAAAAGAAAGAACAGATAAATGATAAAGAAAACGTATCTAAATAATGTAATTTGATCTAGAATATGAAATAAAGTGTATAAGCTGATGATGTGTATGAGATGAGTTATTGATCTCATTTCACCTTTTTAAAAAAAATGAAAATGTAAATACTTCTATTAATCAAAAATATGAAGACATAAGAAAAATTTACAAAAAAAAAAGAAAAAGAAACATGATTGAAAATTGATATTTTTTTTTAAACTTACAAATCAAAATTCTATTCATAATAGATTTTTGAATCTTAAAAAAAAAACAACGGACCTAGATCAATGGTTAATCTATTACATATTTGTTCTAACAAAAAAAATGAACTCTCTACATTTGTCTCGATTACTCTTACATTTCTTCAAAATATTGCCAAGATAAACAAAACATATTCCATGTGTGTCCATTAGTCTGTTGGTGCGCAAAACAATATAATGTATTCGTATGTTTTGTTTTTCGTTTCCATTTGCCTTCAACTTTTTTTTTTTTTTTTTCATAACAATTATTCGCTCAGCTTTCCCTCTCTTTCTTTTCTTTTGTCCATCTCAACAAAAAAAAGAAAAATGAAAATTCTCAGCAAGAAGATTAAAGTTCTTTTGTCATACATTTTACACATACTGATCGAAATCGAATCATAGACAAACAAGAGAGACAAAGAGAAAAACTAAGAAAAAGAAACAAAAAAATGTCTTACAAGAGTAACATTGTTTTATTATGGCCAATAATGATCACGGATTCATTTTCCTATGTGTATATGTCTGTGTATTAATATCTTATATACAGTAAAAGAAGAAGAAAAAAAAAAAACCACCAAGAAAACGAATAAAATATGTTAACCTTGTTAACTTGGTTGATATGAAAAATTGCTAAGTGTTAAAACAAGAGAACTATTGGACGGAAGTGATGTTTCAGATGTATTCGATGTTGATGGTGTAAATATAATATTCATACCATTATTTTTTAAAGTATTTAAATCAATTGTATATGATGAAGGAATATTAGTTTGTTGCTGTTGTTGTTGAGAATCTGATTGAATAAAACATGGTAATGGTAGTGTTAATGTTGTTGTTTGAGATGAAGTCGGAAAATTTTGTGAATTAGAAGTATCAGTTGATTTAATTTTATTTAATGATGATAATTTAGCACGTTTTATAGGACGATTTCCATTTGATACATTTGTAGATTGATCTATTTAATTAGAAAATTAATATCATTAAGTAATTAATCAAATAATCTATATTTACTATCTATTGATATATTTAAACGTTTTTTTCGTTGATTTTCATCAATAAATATAACATCATTATTATTTAATGTTGTTGCTGTTGTTGTTTGAGTGTCAACAATTTGTTCAATAATAGATTCATCTTTTGCTAAACATGTTTGTATAAGTGCTTTACCTGCTTCACTTGTTATCATTGGTTGTAATTTAACTGTTGCATATGTATAAACATGACCTGAATAAAATTCTGTTGATTAACTTTTGTTTTTAATTAAATAATCTTACCAGTTTCAGAAGCAACAAGTAACATAACTTCAGTACCTGTTAATGTAGCTAATTCGTAGGCTTTTTTCATAATACCTGTTTTACGTTTTGAAAATGTTGTATATCGTCGAATTTTATTATCAATATAAGCCATTTTTATTTTAACACGACCTAATGTTTTCTTATTTTTCTTATGATTTGTTAAATGTTTTTCTATAGGTTCAATAGAACGATCATTGGAAACATCATTATCATCAATAAAATCTTCATCATCATCTGATGTTGTTGAACTAACAGATTGACGACGAATCTGACTGTTCGTTTCTTGTGAGTGACAACAAGTTGAAGACATTATTGTTTTTTTTTTCTTTCTTAGATTTTAATATATATTTATATATATCAGTTGTTATGTGAAACTGAAAATCTGACGATTAGACTACTTGAGTTTGTTTTTGGCATAATGATTCATGAGAATATATGAAAACACAAAGAAATAGGGACGGTCTTTGTTTGATTGGTGAGAAAACATATCCCAATAGATTAATATTTTGTTTTTTAGTATAATAACGACATCTTTTTAAGAGAAATATTATATATTTTCATCAACTCGTTTTGTTATGAAAAAAAAAACGAATTTTTCTCTTAATGTAATATACTCTGTATATATTATTTCTGAATATCAATAATTCAATATAAAATTTTCCGATTATGGTTTCAATCAAAATTTTGCATCATTATATTGTTGATTCTAATGGCTTTTGCAGATAATATTCTCATTAGTTAAGGGTAAAGAGTTCTTTTTACATGTGATTCGAATAAATTGTGGAAGTTTTCTCTGATCTTACTCTTGTTCTCGATCTTTAGACGATCCATATCTTGCGAATAGCTGTCTGGAAAGAACCGATCGTGGAACCATTATTAATAATGAATTAGTAAACTGTTTCATAGACGATGTTATCGTACAATTGATAGACATTGATAACAATAGTATCAATTTGAGTTTACTGAGAAATACATACTGTTTTACACGTAATCGATAGAAGAAGTTTTTTCACAGTAAGATTGGAATCATTAAGTATAAGCAAAGCTGGCAAGTAAAAAAAAATATGTAGACTAATGAATGATAAAATGTGCTGGATTTATTTTGCTTTCATCATAGCATGACAACAGCTCATTGTAGTGATTTAATAGCTTCCTTATTAGAAAGAACAAAATCTCTCATACTCACACTTCACATTATTTTAAAACAAAGTATAGTTTTTCCATTAGATATTCTAAATAAAACGTCATTTTGACATTGTTGAGACAAAAAAAGACAAGTTATCAATAAAACTATTTCCTATGGAATCTGTAGTTTTGCAACTCAAATATTTTGATATCACTAAAAAATCTGCATCGCATTAGTGACACTTCAAAAGATAAGTGCAAAACGAAACAATCAAGTGCACTTTGCATCATGATTTTGTTGCGAAGTTGCAAGGTACTTTTTTAATCAAACATGCTCTTGAAACACTGCAACCTTCGGTAATACTTTGAACTGTGTATTTTTAAACAGCTTTCAAGTAAATACATTTTTCTCTCTCTCCAGTAAAGAAACTATCAAGTATCCATGACGAGTTGTTATCATGCTATATTGAAAACAAACAAAGATGATAAAAGACTTATTAATAAATAAAACTTCATGTAAAAAGTTTCTACTATATCATAATCAGTACTTCAAAGTTTTATGGTTTGTTATGTATATTTAAGACATGTTGTTTATAAAGAATACTATCAATTATATAAAATGAATATTAAATAAACCTTATTTTGTCAGGTTTTTGTTATTTTACTGTTTTCCATACAGATAATTTAATAATATTCCTTCTTGACAATACCATAGAAATAGGAATCATACGCATTTCAATCTCCACACTCACATCGACAATTAATGAAAAAAAATAAATTACTTGATTCGATCTTTTATACATACCATATATACATACAACTATCTATTGCTTTTACTAATACGCAGAGCATTATGGCGATCATTATCGATTCAACTCAAAATGATCAATGTAAATTACGCATTGAATGTGAATGACGAAGTGGTATGATCAATTTCGATGCAAAAGAGGATCTATATCGTGGATATTTTTAGATTCATTCAGTAAACATTGATTGCAGTATTATTATCTATGAGAGTGAACGTTTTGAATAAATTCTTTTAGCATAGATTTGTGTGACAATCAGGCTTATCTAATTCAATTTTAAGACATCATGAGAAAAATCAGGAGACTTTTATTTTATATCTGAAAGCTGTCTACTTAGTTTTACATAAAAAAATTCTTTTTTTTTGTTTGCATAAGCAATTTTCTCTTTTGTATAGCAAGCTTATTTTGAAAACTTTTCTTTCATCTGAATTAAAATAAACAAGGTGATAATCCGATATATTTTATATGAAATCCCTCCTATAATAGAAGAGCTTTATATATTAGAAGACTCATGGAAAATTTGATATGCAGGACGTCATGGAAGATGCAATTAGTTTTAAGTAACAGTTAACAAAATGTTAAATCAATTGTCAATGCTTTTCAGTTAAAAAAGTCTAGTTTTTGGAGATTTTTTTATCAAACAAAAGCTTGAACCTCTGAAAAATCCGAGAGCTCTGTCAGAATATTTTGTATTGAAATCTATGGAAAATGTATATCATAATAGAACATGCCTTAAGGGAGTGTGTATGCCAAGGTTGTCGATTATTTCTAGGAGTAGGGAGAAGGGCTGAAAATTTGACAGAAAGTCAATTTTATTTTACAACTTTTAGTTCATCGAGAAATTTCTTAAGAATACCAAAAAAGATCATGTTCTTCAAAGGGCTAAGACGCTTCCGGATACACTTAAACTTTCAAAAACTTAAGACATTTTAAGGAGCGGGCGTTTCAAACTACAAGCAAATTTTTTTTCCCTTTTTCTAACGTCATTTGATAGAGCGTGGACTGCTGATTACGAAAAACCACTTTTTAACATCAGCAAATGTTCTTTTCAGGCCGAAAAATATGAAAAACTTGACGAACATGGTTTTTTCGAAAAACATATCTTTTTAACGGTATGCAAAATTTTATGTTTCATTCTTTTCCAGCTTCTAAAGATATTTTTTCAGATTGAGTATCAAAAACGAAGTACAGACAAGTTGTTAGATCGACTCCAATCTCGAAAATTTTTGATGATGGCGCTTCACGTCGCGCTGAGTTCAATACGTATGCGTCGACTTTGTAAGTCTACCTAATGTTTTTTAAGTCAACGATGAAGTCACATATTTTATCTCATTTAACTCATCATACTACCAGTTACAAAAGTATGTATCGCGTTTCCAATGCATATTTTTGTGTGTAGTAGTATGATGAGTTAAATACGATAAAATATGTGACTTCATCGGTTACGTAGAAAAAACTAGATAGGCTTACAAAATCGACCTATACGTATTGAACTCGATGCGATTCGAAGCGCCGTCATCACAAGATATTCGCAGTTAGAATCGATATAATAACTTGTTCATATTCAGTTTTTGATGCTGAATCTGAAAAATTATTTTCAGAAGCTGGAAAAAAAAGAACAAAGCAAAAAATGTTGTACATTTTGAAAACGATATGTTTTTCGTAAAAAAACGATATCCTTCAAGTTTTTCGTATTTTTAGACCCGAAAGAAGCATTTGCTGGCGCTAAAAAGTAGTTTTTCATGGTCAGCGGCTCACACTCTATCAAATGACGTACAGAAAAACGAAAAAAGAATTTTCTTGAAATGCACATTGCCGGCGCCTTATACATATAATGTATTTATTGTTTACTGTGCCGATGATGAATGCGCTCGTTGAGATATAAATTATTTTGAATAAAATAAGCTCAATTCACTTTTACACATAGTATATTCGACATCGATGAAATCACAACCCGACAATGAGCAGTAAAGCAGACTCAAATTCATCAAAAAATTTTGGCAAAATGGTACACATAAGCTTTCTGTCGAAGAAAAGTACCTTGAAGTTGATTTTCTGCGAAAACTTTCCAAAAAATATCTTCTTGATGCTATTTATCTATTTTTTCTAGAAAGCAGCGACGTATCTAGGATTTTTCTTAGGAGGGAGGGATCAAATCGTTTTTTGTGCATCGTCATTGACAATTAGTAGTATATAAATACATTATAGTTTTCTTTATTCATATTTAATTATTTCTCTTATCAATAAGAAAGAAAGACTAGATCTAAAACAACAAACATATTAAGGGCCCTCCCCCTCCCCTCAGAAAACCCCATTTTCCTAAGAAAAGTCGAAGTCGAATTTTTATCATAGGAAGATGCACCATGATTTCCTCTTTCAGAATATATATGGCTTTTCATAAAACGAATAGATTTTGATGGACTTATCGGCTGAAACTTGGGCCCTACTATCATTTTTTTCGAAAAATTTTTGCGGCTATTTTTAAAGTTTTTCAGTCTTTGAAAGATTCTATTTTCATTGGCATCAGCGTTGAGTAAAGCTTTTTTATATTAATTACTCAGAGCCTACTAATACTTAAGATAAAGATCACATACTTATAGCCTGTCCGAAACATTGATGCATAATTTGCGTGTATTTCGCAAAAATCAATTTCTAAAAATGATTTAGCGTTTTTCTCAAAATCGATTTTTTCGAGCATACCGTTTACGCGGGCAGGCTTTTCTTCATAACCACTCGATATAGAAGTGCTAATTTTTTTAATTTTATAGTAGACAGGGAGGGCTAGGTCGTGACAGAGCCGAATTTTTGAATTTCTCTTTTGCTGAAATAAAAACCGTAAATGTTTCATTTTGATCAGTGAGTTTTTTGGTCATGAATTCATGAATTTTTGAAAAAAGTATTTTTAAAAAACAAAGAAAGGTAATTTCAAAAGTAGAACTCTATCACGACCTAGCCCTACGGGCACTCTACAACCTAGACACCATCCCGACCCGTTAGCTCCCAGTCCTCATGGCGAAAACCCTGACCGCGTACAGAGTACTTTTTACCACTAAATTGACTGCAACTCATTAGTATACTGGTGTTTTGGGGGAGATATTTCACCCATAGCCTATCCTAGCCTAGACTCATATTCTCTGAAATATTTGGTTGAAATCGGACGAAAAATAACAAAGTTGATTTCTGAGGGGGGGGGGGGACACCATAATTAGAACAAACAATGTTTGCTGATACACACACACACATATTATATTAATTGATTTACACAAGTGTAACATCAAATGTACAACTATCAATGCAACTATTATTTTTAACATTCAAAGAAGAAAAATCGTAAAAATGTTTATTGATTTTTTCATGTAGGGGGAGGGATCGGTCTCCC